GACATAAATCAAAGTTCTTCTGTGTCGTATAAAAACGAATCTAACGATTTAATTAATTTCAAAATGAGACGAATCATCATGAGCCGAGTCGAACCGAACCGAACCGGCCGGTTTGAAACCCCTAGGTTTAACAAATGAGACGATGCATGCATGGTGAATAAATACTCAGCAAGTTGCACTTTGAATCTCGAGGCATATAAAAAAGCTGCCATGGATAACTCTCTTGTTGGATAAATTGACAAACTTGTGGGCTGTCATTTAGATTTAATGCTCACTTACATATTTTTCAAGCAACAAAAATGATATTTGAATTTACCACAGTTCTTATAATACGTAACAATTTTTATTTTATTTTATTTATGTGAAAAACATATGATGATGTTAGAGGTTACGGAAAATATACGTAAAGTTTATATAGTTATGTTTGTTATTTGGTTTAGATATATATTTTGTTATTATTCTACAATTAGAGTTTTTTATTATTATATTTTACATATATTGTTTATTAAAATTTAAATCATAATTAATCTTTAATAAGTAATCATAATTAATCTTTAATAATTATTTGCTGAAATATCTATTTTAATAGTAGAAATCATTCCATATATGCTAAATCACAACAAAAAATCGTATTGATTGGTTAATTGAAGGAAACCTTTAGAATAATACGCTTTGTTCCAACAGTTGTATAGCTGTTCTTTTTAATATAAAAATGATTTCTGTCATGAAAGAAAAAAAACTACGGAATGTTGGGTGTTATTTTATTAAAACTTGGTTTAAATATAAAAAATAATTTATGGGTTAGTAGAGTTCCAACAAACAAAGACGTAAATCCAATATATAAACTTATGTAAAATTTTCATCGGATTAAAGTTTTCTCTAATTATATATTTAGAGATTCATAAATCGATGAGAAAGTTTGATTTTTTTTGGTTCATCTTTGAAATAATAAAATATTATTGTGATATGATCTCTCATCTGTAATTTATGTATTAGTTAAATACATAATTAAAATTTTTGTCATGCATATTAAAGATATTATATATATGCATATATGTCTATACGTCATATATAAGTCAATATATATATTAAATTTGTACATGGTCATATTTTAATATTTTATGCATATATATATATATATGATATAATGATGTATATTTTATATATATATATATTAAAGGTATATGTACATTACAAAGCTTATAGTGTTTTGATAGTAAGATATATTTATAATTCGACATAATAGTGATATATATATATATGTATTAAATTTATTTGTTTATTTATGCATATTTGAATGGTAGTCAATATATGCATATATATTTTAGGTTGAATTATATATATAAGTTAGATCTTCATTTTATTTTATTCGATTCGATATCTACACTATGAAATCTTGTTAGTCACAAAAGTGACCTAAATTAATTTAGATTAAATATTCAAATCGAATATTTTCAATTGTTCAAAATGAAAGGATGATAAAAGATGACATAAAGATATAGTTGAACAATTGAGATTATTAATTATATCGCTATAAAGTCATTCAAAGGTGGATCATTGCGTATAGTTAATAATATTAAAGAAATTGATATTTTATCTTGATCGATAAGTATGTATATCCAAAGATTGCATATTTATTTGGTTTTTGATATTATGATGTATATAAAAGTATTTTGTATCAATGATGGTATACGTATTTAAGTGTCTGCCCAAAGGTGAATTTAAATGCGTTTTACAACTTTTGGTACATTAAATTATTTTTTATTTTACCATCAATGATTGTATTTGTATTTGAATATTGCCCAAAGGTTACTTAAATACTTCTTAAATCTTTTGATTTATTATGTTAACTCAAAGCATTAATAGGTAAGCATGTATAAATGTTTTGCAATTTCTTTTAATTCTATGGCAACTGACAATGCTGTAGTCAAGTTCAACGGGCTTAACTATGCAGATTGTTCTGAACAGATCCAGGTTAACTATGCAGATTGTTCTGAACAGATCCAGTTTTATTGGTTAGTGAAAAGCCAGCCATAACAGATATCAGTTCAGAAAATGAAAGGACTTATTTTGAGTCTTGGGAGCGGTCTAATATACTATGTTTGAACCTTATGAGGATGACCATGACAAAAAGTGTTAAGCCATCAATGTCTAAGACTGAAAATGCATGGAAATTTATGAATAAGATTAAAGAGTAATCACAATCGGATTTAACTGACAAGCCAATTGTAGGTAGTCTCATGAGTGAGCTAACTACGAAAAAGTTTGACTGGTCTCACCATATCCATGATCAAGTGACTCACATGTCTAATAGGGGATATATCCAATCTACCGTTTGACCGCTGCAAGGATTTCTCTACCTACCCTTCAAAATCCAAATTAAAAAAAAGGGCAGAAGTGACGCAAAAACCAATTATACCCTCAAATTTTAATCAAAAGACGAAAAAACCAAATTAAAATTTAAATTAAAAAAAATAACGGTTCTCTCTCTTTCCTCAGTCCACGTTCTCTCTCTCTCTCCTCACTGTCGCCATTTCCCTCTCTCTCCTAACTCTCGACATCTCCTCCGTCTGTCTTTCGAAACCGCCGGTTTTGTGGCAAAAAACCGTCGATTTAAGCCGCGATTTTCCTCTCATAAGTCTCTGTCTTTACTCTCCTCAGATTCGAAGCACAAAGAAGGAAGAAAATGGCTTCTACGTCAGTGGTTCACTCATCTTCGTCAGCATCTTCGAACGAGACTGATTTTCGAATCCAAATCGCGGAGTTAAATGAGCACATGGTACATTACTTCTCTTTTTGTCATATTTGCACGATTTTGAAAGTTTATATGTTTCCTTATTGTTTTGCCGTGATGATTTGAAATGATAGAAATCTAGGGTTTCGTATTTGAAATTTTAGGGATAACATTATAATCTTTGGTTTGAAGTGGTTAAAATCGAAATGATTTGTTGATTTGGGTCACAGTGATATAGGTGACGGGATGTATGATTCGATGTTTGGATGATGAATGATATGTTGATTTGGGTCACAATGATATAGGTGATAGGGTTCGATGTAAATTAGGTCACAGGATCGGTTCGATTGGTGATAGGTGACTTGGTCACAGTTCACAGGACAATAGGTCACATGGTACCAGGGCAATAGGTCACATGAGAATTGGTCACGTGGTACCAAGACAATAGGTCACATGGTACTATGTCACATTGTCACAGGTTCACAAGACAATAGGTCACATGGTACCAGGACAATTGGTCACAGGTCAGAGGAGAATAGGTCACATGGTACTATTTCACATTGTCACAGGTCACATGATCTGATGTATTTTATTGTTGTGCAGTTGTCGTTTATGTACAAAATGGAAGACATTCAGTTCTCTCCTAAGATAAATACCAAGTGTTACCCGTCGGAGACAATAAAAAAACTGAAAGACTTGTTAAGCCCTGAAGAATGGAGGTATTTCAGTCATGAGTCACAGTTTCAACATTTGTTTCACATGCAATTTGATGGCACGCTGAAGATGGCTCCAGCAGCATTCCTGATAAACCATTGTGTCAATGCGGAGGATGAAAAGGAATTATGGTTTGTTCTAAATGGTGTGCCCATTAGATACTCCATCGTTGAACACGCTCTCATATCCGGATTGAAATGCGGTGAGTATCCGGCTGGATGGGAATATATGAGGAAAAGCCAGTTTAGAGTGAAGACTTTTGGAAATCGAAAGGTATCTAAGGAGAGTGTGATAAGACATCTCGAGAAGACGCCAACTCAAAGGGCTGCTGATAGGAAGAAACTGGCTGTTATCATGTTGCTCGGTGGAATACTGGATCATGGCACCACAGATGAGTTTATAAACCATGATTTGGTGGATATGGTGGATGATTTGGCTTTCTGTGAGAGATTTCCATGGGGACGCTACACATTTGATAGAATGATTGATCAAGTAAGAAAGAGTTTCGGAAGTGGAGGGCCAAAGAAGAAATGGCACTGTCGTGGGTTTATAATCCCTCTTATGGTAAGGGTTTTTCACTACGTGTATAAATGAAAAGTACCGTTATTACATTGATTTGTTTTGGAATTTAATATTTACACAATATGGTACAATTGCTTCCTTTCGAATGCATATCAAATTTGGGTGCCAACGGGATGTACAAAGACGTCGAGGGAGCGGATCCGACGTGTCCCAGAATGTGCAAGAAGTCTGTCAAAGCAAATGTTAGATGGAGTTTCAAGACTGTTATAGACCAGATTGGCACTAAAGCAAAGGTACGCAGAAAATAGGACATGGTGTGTTGGTCACAGGTTTCATGGTCACATGGTACCATGTAACTCGATCACATGGTACCATAACCTATTTGGTCACATGGTACCATGTAACTCGGTCACATGGTACCATAACCTATTTGGTCACATGGTACTATTTAACTCGGTCACATGGTACCATAACCTATTTGGTCACATGGTACTATTTAACTCGGTCACATGGTACCATAACTTATTTGGTCACATGGTACTATTTAACTGTCACATGATGCATATGGTAACAATAAGTCTCATCTATTTTTCAGGGAATTAAGAGCATTCTTAAGAAGGAAGCGACAGAAGAAACTCTTCTTTTTGATCTAGAGGATCTCGATGGAAGTGAAGATCCAATGGTTAAAGTATGGATGCAATATCTTGAGAGGAATCCGGAGAGCATATACTGGAAAAAAATCCATGAAATGGAAATTCGTTCCAGAAAATCTTCAAAGAAAAAGAAGAAGGGGAAAAGTTTGGTAGATGAAGATGAAATAGAAGATGAGGGACGAGAAGAAGAAGAAGAAGAAGAAGAAGAAGAAGAAGAACAAGAACAAGAAGTACAACAACGACAACAACCGCAAGAAAGAGTCATACCACCACAAGGGATACAAAAGGGAGCACAAAGAGTTCACGGAGTGTCAAGTCTCGAAGCACTAAAGACCGAATTGAAGGCCGATTTCAGGGTCGTGGCTAAGGAATCCGAGATGAGAATCATCGATGCTGTGAGAGGGCTTTTAAAGGAGGTTGGACTCCTTGGAAAAGAGGGATTTGTCCCAAGTCCCACAGTGCAGGAGAACCCGGTGATAGATCCGGTAGATAAGGACATATCCACGCCCAGGTCCACAGCGACGCCCAGGTCCACAGTGCAAGAGATCAGAAAAAGTCATGTTGCGAAAGAAAGAGTTGCGACAAGTCCTTTGATGTGTTCTGTCGGTACCGACGAATACTATGATCAAGATGTTGGACTTTTTGAATTAAGACCGAGAGATGTGACTCCATTGGAGTCAGGAAAAGAGAAGTCAACTGCCCAGGAGGCATTGGTTACAGAGAAAGAACCGTCTCCTAAGGAGAAAGAGGCATCGAGCAAGGAGAAAGAGCCCTCGCCTAAAGAGGTAGATCTTTCTTCCATGGACGCATAAGTAGGAAGTAAGTATTCAAACTTTGTCATTTGGTCACATTACTTGATCACATGAGATCATAGTTACTTGGTCACATGGGACCATAGTTACTTGGTCACATGGGACCATATTTACTTGGTCACATGGGACCATATTTACTTGGTCACATGTTTTAATTAATTTGTGCATATCTTGTGTTTTGTTCAGAAAATGTCCCCGAAGAAGATGCTGAAGAGAATGATAGTGACGATGATGCTGGCAGTGGAGATGAGAACACGGAAGAAGAGGGTAACGCCGATGGTGATGAGGGTGAGACAACCGATGAAGATTCTGAAAAGGATGACGCCGATGGCGATGATACCGATGGCGAAGAGGGTGAGGGAACCGACGACGATGATACAGCAGCTGAATCTTCTGACAAAGAATCGGCTGCCAAAACCAATGAAGACACAGATATGTCTGCCCCCCTGTTGAACATGAAGTCAATCAACCTCCACCAGCAGTTGACTCCTCTGATAAACAACAGTTGAAAAGAACAAAGAGGAAGCTTACTGATGGGCCATCCAAAAGAAGCCCTTATGTAGAACATGTTGAAGGCAAAATGAAGAAAGAATCCAAGATAGCATTCCACATGTCCAAGAGCATTACCCTTTGCCATTCATGCATTGTACGTAAGTTACATGCATTATGGATGAGACATTAGGCTTCTCTCCATAATTGACAATGGTGAGTTGGCATGATTTGAAGTGAGTAATGAAGACAGAGAGAGTCGTTGGAGTTCATGCAACGATCATATTACAATCAAGCTATTCAATCCACCTAAGAATCTTCAATATATATCTTTATGTTTATGTCTTTCATTGTTTGGAATATTTTATAGTTGTTTGATATTTATTTCTTTCCTTTTTCCTTTTCTTGTAATATCTATTTAAATTCTTGTACATATCATATTGAAACTACACAGAAAATATTGGAGACTTTCTCCATGGATAACTCTCGACCATATCTTCTTTCATTCTAACTCTTGGTCATTTTCATTCTTCATGATTATTCTTCATTTATTTTGATTCTCAAACACTAAATTATATAAAAACCTTCATGGTATCAGAGCACTAAGATCTAAGGTGCCAAAAGTCTAGTTTTCCGTTGCAAACACCAAAGCAAATTCCCTTCCGGCATCCATTAAAACCAAGAAGGAGCCTGCTCGTGTTATTTGAAAATTTTGCCTCTTTTAAGCTATTCTTTCAAGCCAAAGAGATTCGTTTTTTTATCCTACTTCATCCGCTATATACATCCTTAAAAGGTCACATGAGGTGTACTTGGGATGATCTTGGCGACCTTGAAGATGAAGAAGGAAATCATTGTTCATACATCGAACATGCTAACGGTGTTGTAGAACAATTTTGGTGTACCAAGGAAGAGGTTGACGTATGGAATAACCTCTCCATAGAAGAAGTTCAAGCCATGTGTGTGGATGATGGACCATATTTGGAAGAACAAAATGAGGATGAATGGGATGTGGATGACAATGTCTTTGACCATCTCCCATTGGACATTAAGGAGATCTTATTATCAATGATCAAAGAATACAATATACGGGTAACATATTCTCTCCTTGAATCTCTTTTTACCTCTAATGAGTTTGTTCAAATGATAGAAAAAAGGAAGGAAGAAAATACAAGAAAGCTGGTCAAAAAGGAAAAAGAGACCGAAAACAAAGTGGAAGAAAGCCACAAACAAGAGAACTCGGTGGAGAGCCGCAAAGAGGACATAATGTCCCAAGAGGATCCACCACTCGAGGAGACTTTGCCTTTTCATATCCATGCAACTCATACAGTTAGCATCAAAGAGGAGGAACGGGAGAAAGAAGAAATAGATATTGTAGTGGCAAGCCACAAAGCGGAGAGAATGAACCACGATAAAGAGGAACCAAACACATCAGAGATAGAACTCTTTCCATCACCTCAAAGAAACCCAAGAATCGAATTCATACAGATAAGCACTAGAGTTTGTACTCTTTTCTCTTGTCCTATACATTTTGATTTATTTTTTAAATATAACGCTTGTGGGTTGTTGAGCATTCTTCATCAGCCTTCACATGAGGGATTCTTCAAACTTTCCAAGTACATGAGTGAGGGAGCATATGACGGTATCCTCGTGTGCTTTCCAAGTGAAAACAATACATCAAATGGAGAAACATCAAAGCAAGCAACAAATGATTCAAATCTGTCCAATATTGAGGTTGAATTTTCTATTAGTTATGGACACTCTAGGTTAGGTAAATTTTCATCTCATACTTTTACATTTGATCTCGGTACGTTTGAACATACATATTTCAATGAAAAACAAAGTATCATTGTTAGAAATATTCTTGATTATGCATATGATACATATAGGAGAATAGATAACATGTTTTATATATTTGATGAGTATTCAAGTAATATGTTTCGTATAATAAAAAACCAAATGTCTATCTCATTAATCAACCAATGTTTTATGCATTCATATCATCAAAGTTAAAGTTTAAGCATGCTACGACACTTTTTCTTTTGTTATTTGATTGTAAACATATTATTACCTCCTTACATTCAGTTTTCTTTATTAAACGGAGTGTCACGGCCTCCCGTGTAGTTTTTAATCATTTCTTTGAGATATTGCAGCAAATAAAAATCAAAATAGGACAATATGTAAGCTTGAAGCTTAACGAACTACAATGGAAAGAGTTGGAATATTTGATGACATATTCATACGACGATGAAGACATTCGTTCTCCAAGATTAGCTTTTCGATATCTCTCCACGCTAATCTTGAGGGGGAATGTTGAAGGCAAAATGAAGAAAGAATCCAAGATAGCATTCCACATGTCCAAGAGCATTACCCTTTGCCATTCATGCATTGTACGTAAGTTACATGCATTATGGATGAGACATTAGGCTTCTCTCCATAATTGACAATGGTGAGTTGGCATGATTTGAAGTGAGTAATGAAGACAGAGAGAGCCGTTGGAGTGAAGACAATCATGCAACGATCATATTACAATCAAGCTATTCAATCCACCTAAGAATCTTCAATATATATCTTTATGTTTATGTCTTTCCTTGTTTGGAATATTTTATAGTCGTTTGATATTTATTTCTTTCCTTTTTCCTTTTCTTGTAATATCTATTTAAATTCTTGTACATATCATATTGAAAATACACAGAAAATATTGGGGACTTTCTCCATGGATAACTCTCGACCATATCTTCTTTCATTCTAACTCTTGGTCATTTTCATATCTTCTTTCATTCTAACACGAGCAGGCATAGGTAGGGGCAGCGGCAGAGGTCGAGACAACACTGCCCAGGAGGATGTTGCTGGGAAAGACGACGATGAGGAAGAAGCTTCTGAGGATGACGTTGCTGCGGTCGAGACTGAGAAAGGAATTCTGCATTCGTCAAGTGAAGAGAAGGTATTTGTATGGAATCCAGAGCGTGTCAACCCGTGTGGAGGTCTCTTCAGGACTCCAGGATTTGTAGAAACATCTGGTCCACGGGCCAACGCTCTATGGGAGTTTATGAAGAAGCCGCGAGAGACGCGATTGTGGAAGTCAAAATTGGATGGAATACGTACGTCAAAATTTTGGGAAGATCTTCTACAAGTGGGAGTATGGCTCACAGATACTGTAAGTTTACATTAAGTTATCTTACTTAACAAGGTCACACGTATCTTGGATATATGGTACCAAATGACTCAGTCACATGGTACCATTGC